ACCTACCAGGCACCGTCGTGCAACACGCAAACACAGTTATGAACACGAAACCACTCATATAACCTTTGTTAAACGAAATTAAACCATTAAATGAAAACAATAATTGCTTATTTAAATTTATAATATAAACAATAGATACAATGCATATTATTATTCGTAACCAAATCAAAAACAGGTTGGTGGTAAATGATTAGAAACGCTGGAGAGAAATATTGTCGCTTGACATCCATTTAAATAGTTTTTATTAAATTCCTCAATAATCTTTAATGATTACCAATAAGTACAATATATTCGCAATCAAATTGGCAGCGGGTTGTCCGGAAGGTAAAACAAAAGACAAACGCCGGGAAACCGACACGCGAACACAGTGTTCGGGCACGCACGCGTCAGCCATAACAGCCCTTGTCAACCATAACGCGGCCGCAGCGCCCGGCCGGTTAACCGCCCGACCCGACGCGCGGCCTGGTTTACCCGGCTAGCCGCTGGAAAACTACCATTTTCATTTACGGTTGGCCCCTTGGTTTCGCTAACTAAGCAGAACCCGCAAGTTGCGTAACTATGCATTGTGGCTCTATTAGACAGTTATGAAGAGCGGTCGATTTCGAGGCCTCGGTTAATACTTATTCATATGGTCTACCATTCCATTTAATTCATGTTAGCGATGTAAATTTATTATATCTAATGCTAGCATTATGTGTCTAGTCCTTAGTCTGTTTCAATAAACTTGAATAAAATTAATTGCTTTTACACAAAGCAAAGATCTATTAATTTAAACAAATTTGATTTATCTGAACATTGAGGTTTTCCGTAGAATTATCGAAAATCCCTCGATTTTGATCGAAAAACATTAGATTCATTCAGTATTTTTATGAAGAATCTTCTATGAGATAAATATTAAACTTTAAGAGAACGCGATAATCTTTAATTTGGAATGCAATATCAGCTTAAACTACAAGCAATCAGCAATCAAGACATTAACATTCTCACCTCAGCGGCGGTTTACACGTGCACATTAATTCACTCTATTAGCGCGCAAGCATTAGCACCTCGTTACAGCACAACGCTTAGTAATCGCGATCGCTGACAAGGCGGGAGTGTATTTGACAGCTGTCAAATTGGATTGCATCCAGCTATTAGGGAATGTCGTCTGGGCAGGAGATTGAGGAAAGAATAGAGTGGATTATATTTAATTGCGACAGATGGATTTTTATTTTGTCAATTGGTTGGTAAATGAATAATTATCTTTATTTTACAAAGCAGTTCAAACGTTTTTATATATCTATAATTGTCTAATTATACCACATAATTATGTGTTATTTCTCCATATTCGATTTAATTCGATTCCATCTGAGCCCCAGTAGTGACGAAACGAAGAGACTGGTGTTGTGATAACATTAATGTAAACTATGACCTCTTATTTCATCATTGAGTCTTAGCTAGAAGATAAAAGAATAAATAGTGAATCTTTTCGTGATTTCAATACTTTACTGAAAATTACCGTCATACGATTTTTTTTTTGCGTAATGTCCACATTATGATATCGGTACCTATGATGTGGCGGCGACGTTCCGTTCTGTTCTGAACAAATTCAGTGGCACTAGTTGTCGGAACTAACGCGACAGTGCACCGGTTGACTAGAACTCTTAATTGCATCACTCAAATAAAGCTACCCAGCTAACGTAATTCGACGTGTTATTAGTTAAGGTAAGGTTGTAGTTAATTCGCCTTCTCTGAACAAGTTTCATTGTAGCGGTATGTAAAGTAATTATGCTTAAATTTGCGCAAGGAATAAAAAAATAGAAATTTAAGAACACAACTGATATTTATGAAAACAAAACTCAAATTTTGTAAGCTTTATTCAAAATCACAAAGATGACATTAAAAAAAAAAGAGTAAACGACCACAATACTATATATTAATATTTCAATCATATTCTAGTTTAGCGCTTAGCCCCAGATTTAATGAGTCATTTTAATGTATAGTATTAATAATATAATTAAATATTTAATAGTTAAACTCATCTTCATGGTGTTTCATGAAAATTTTCTTGAAGTCGAGATGAGATTTTGTATAGGTTGTTAATATTAACCGTTTGACTTTAATAGAATTTACAAGTGCGTGTAAATTGCCTTAAATTAATTTTTATTTAAATTATTTTGCACATTTCGATTTTTTTTTGTAAAACTACACTTCTACACACTAGATGAAACCATCTATATGAAACAGTTTTAATCTATGTGAACGATTCTGAAGTCGGTATTATATTGTTTGCAAATTTTATAATTTTTATGTGAACATAAGATAAATCACAGGCGAGCAAAATAAGCGATCTTTTGTTTTCTATGATGATATAAATATGTCGTCTTAGTATTTGTGTTATTTAGCAGAACGCTTCCAGTTATTGCGTTATAACATCATAACTGCTTATCCAATTTTCATAAGCTACGAAATAAAAAAATGAAGTTAGTTAAATAGGATATTACAGTATTATTTAGTGTTAACCCATGATATTAATGAGCGTAACAAATCACTTCCTCATAAAAACGTGTCTAAGAAACTGTAAGTCCATAAAGTGAATTCCCCCTATTTTTAGTGTCGTGAAAGAGGCGAATTAAAGAGGGTTATTTATTTAGGCGTTGCTCGTGGCAGCCCGCGGCTGGTACGAAATCGTCTTGCGTTGTTACAACACTAGCCTTTGATGGGCAATTTGGGTATCCGAACTTTGAACAACCGAGGGGCTGTGATGGCTAATGATCGCTGAAAATTAATGAAGGATTAGCTATAATAGATATATAACTATTTTTATTGAAATCATAAATGAGTAAGATTATTTATTAATATGATGGGTAAGTGCACAGTAGATAAAGAATATTTGAATATAAGTTGTTCCAGTCAATTTGATAAGTCATTTCTGTAGGAATTGTGTATGTATTTAAATGTGTTATTATTATATTTTAATAAGATACTTTTTTATTGTTGACATTATATCCTTTCCTCCTTTACATAGTAATGCTACCAATTACAGCCACACCATTAATAATGAGAATTCTTAATGTGACTGAATATCATGGAATTGTCACTGGCACCTCCCTACCGGCTCTACAAGTAGTATAGACGGATGATATAAATAAATAGATCGATTAAGATAAGTACATTTTTCTCGTCATAACTGTGTTTTTTCTCATTATAAATGTAACTTTGATATCATTCAAATTTATGCTAATATTGTAAAAAAAGGAAGCTTTCCAACTTTGTTTTTTGTTTGCATTTTAAAAGGCTCTGAAATTATAGAAGCAATCTTAAAAATTAATATAATAAACCTTATAATTATGGTTATACGATTTAAACGTTGAAAAATAGAAGAATGATCTGAAAATAACAAAAAATACTTCATTTGATATGAACGTTACCTTTTTTTTTATCAAATGATACTTGACGATTCAGCTCAAACAAGTCCGTATCGCTGCGGAAACAAGTGTGAACAAGCTCTCCTACGCTTAATAAACTCCGATAGGCCACAACAAGCGAGCGTGTAGGCCTCCATTTTTAACAAGTCCCACCGAAAGTAGCCTACACATGAAATCACATATGAATGAGGCCTTTTTTTCGGCTACTCCAGTACCCATTAAAGCTTACATGTCACTCCCGCTCGGGGAGATAGGGTGGGCAGAAAAAATCACAAAATCGGTATCGGTTCCGAGCCGCTGCGGCGCGCGCTGTCTGTAATACTCTACAATACAGCTTTGACGGACGTTCATTTAATATTAACTGTGGTTTTCCCGCAGATGGAAATGTTTTTTTTTTATTGCTGTAACCCCTTGATGAAGTGGCCTGTCGTTGTTTGTGACGTTGTGATGTTTTGTGGATGAGCTGCTCTTTTATCCTTTCCATATTTGAACATGACTTTTTTAATCTGTTCGAGTGTTTTCCTGTTTGATGTCGGAGTGGATACTTGATGCAATGTGTAATTGCTTTATTTTACTGCAATCCAGATGTTTTATTACGAAGAATTGTATTTTTTCTCGATTTATAGAGAACGTGTGTTGTTTATCAGTCGAAAACGTAACACTGACATTTTTATAAGCAATGTATATACTATTGCGGTATATCCGATTCTATACAATGCTGCAGAGCAAATTTAATCGAAAAAATGTACCAGCCAATATATTTTTAACTTTTCGAACAAGTGATCAAAATCGTTGTATAAAAAGTGGACGCGCCGAAAAGAGTGACCACCGCAGATTGAATTTATGGCTCACGATCACTTTGAGTGGAAAGTTTGCGCAAACATTTTACAGTCTGATTGTAATAAGGCGTGAATGGTAACACTTTTTTCAGATATTCGAATATCAATTTTGCCATAACGCTTAATTCGAACAGGTTAATAAAGATTAAAATAAAAGTGCTCACTGTTAAATTTAGACCAGATTCTGTTCTTAGATTTGACAGTTTTTCGTAAATATTTATCCTACATACTCATCTTAAAATATAATTACTTTACTAAAATATTACAATTTGAGGCAGAGTTAAAAGATCCGTGGATATTGAATCTGAAGATAACTTACTACTCGTTTGTATGCACTCATTTCATCATCACCAGCCTGATAATGTCTCAATTGCCGGCAAATTAATATCTAGATTATTTCGCCGTAACAAAATAAAAATAAAGTAATATAGATGTTGTTTAAAATAAAAAGCACGGAAAGTTTACTTAAAATCACGTTATGATAATACTTTAAAAATTAGCTAATAAAGCAAAAAGTCTTACAAGCTATTGATCAACTGAAACTATATTTGCAAGGTATATTGTACTATTATAGTTTCTTGTAATATATAGCTTGTTTTCTGGCATAAAGATTCATTTAAAATTAATAAATATATCTCAAGATTTCAGATTTTACATCGTTATGCTTCCTATTCCTTCATGACACACATGATAATTCATAATTTAATTTTTATCCTATTATCAATAGATCTTAATATAAAACTCTTTGTTCCAGGAAAATCGTTCACGTTAACGATAACAATATCAACGACGCCACCACAAGTGACAACCTACAACAAGGCCATTAAGGTCACCGTCGACGGGCCAAGGGAACCTCGATCAAAAACCAGTTAGTTTCATACATGATATAGTTCATATTAGTTTGCAATTAATTTACATTTTACCCTCTTTTCGATGTTTTTAAGGTGTCACTATCTATGAGGATCGCGGTTCTATTCCCGTTCAGATCAATATAGGCAATAAACTTTTTATATTATCTCGGGTCTGGGGATTGTTTTAATTTCTTTTTTGATTTCTGTATTATAAGTGCTTTAGTTGACTTAATTTAAGATTTGAGCAATGTATGTGATGTTGTCTAATATTTATTTCATAGAAAATGAGACTTATCATTTCCATATTTCATGCCATACTATTTCTACCGACTAAGAACAATATGTAGCATTGCACATTTACATTGTCTTTCGTTTCGAAAATGTTTACAGAAATTTGTACATATAGGTACTTATTACCATGAGTATGCGTTAAAAATATGCACGACGGGCTCAATAATCTAATTCTAAAATCTATCGCAATCCCTTCCAATTTGACATTTTAACGATATTCAAGAACTCAATAAAATTACCCGACATGAAGTTTTCGAAAGATATTAAATTAACGAAATCGATGGCGAAGCCATGGTTCGACAGCATGTACATGTAGACAAGAATTGTTCTTTAAAAGAAATTAGATTATTAATACCCAATCACAGTATTTCAAAACTGTTCTAATTTTTACCAAAAACCTTTAATATAATAATAAAACATACTTTCGTTCTAAAAGCATAGCGTGGCAACACTGAGCAAACATCAAAGGTTCAAATTACAGAACACTCCAAAATACAAAAGCGGGCGACCGCAAAACATTCGAAAACAGCGGCTTTAATGAAGGTAATTTATTAATAATTGCCAACTCTTGCCAGATTTTACCTTTTCAAGTTCAGTGGGCGTGAAACTAGGGCCAGCCTTTCTCTATTATCACGGGTTTACGTTACAAAAGGGCTTTAATTAATTTATGTGTTCTGTTTGAATATTTTCTTTATAAATTATAATATTGACTTAAGTCTTAATTCATAATTTTATTGATTTAAGATTACAGTTTGAGAGCCCAACTTAGACGCTGATAACAAAATAAAATTATATAGTCCAGGTGTATCGGAAACTTCTTTTAATTTGTATAAAAAAAATTTAACATTACTTTTAGTACAGTTTAAAATGATGTAGTATTTATTATATTAAATACTAATTTAAATTGTTTTCAAATTTGAATATTGTCGGGTTTCATGATCGTAAGCTAAGGTATCTTATAGCTAGGTTTATTATCAAGGACTATACTACATAATAGTTGTTTGACATTTGTTTGAATTTGTCAAGCGCATACTGTGTGTATATATATATTTTTTAAATAAAATAAATATACAATAAAAAAATCTGTATTTCTTCATCACATACAGTTTAATTTTTAGCGACATGTAAGTCATTGTAACAGTAAGTGTTCCAAATTTGAGCTTGATCCATCCAGTAGTTTGTCAGCCACCTTTGCCTTTTTTATATAAAGATAGAGACTTATCCATTTCAATTATTAAATTATAACAACAGTTTTTTCAGTCTTGTCACAGATACACTTTAACTCTTTAATAAGACTATCCCTTCTCTAATATTCAACTTTATCAAAGCATACTGACTAAATAATGTGTGTGTGTTCGACGCTCTTCTGTTGCGATATGAAGAAAAGATTTGTCTTTCCTTAACATCGCAACAGGAGAGCGTAGTTATGGTTAATATTATATTATCAAATTTGACAGGCTGGAGTGACATATACAAAAAAAACTCAACAAGCTAGAGGGTAACAGATAGTTATCAATCGTCTGTAATCGAAACGAAAAAGCGAACTCCAAAAACATTAACTTACTTCAACTTACGTACACTCACATCATTAGCGAGCCGTATTCCTTACGTAAATAATCACGAGCAAAGTAATTTAAATAGTTAGTTGAGCCAGTGACGGTAACAAATGACGGGCCTCAGAGATCCGCTCCGAATCACATTGGATGCTCGATCAATCCTTCACGTGGAGAAATTAAAATAATTGCTAGGATAGTGGGTCTGAAAGACCCTCGCCTCGCCGCGCAAGGGTTACACTCGTCCTTTCAATGCTACAGCACTTTTAACATTTTGTTGAGTAATACGGTCTTATTATATGTTTTTTTTTCTATAAATACTAATGAGAATGAAAACGTATTCAAATGATATTTTTATTCAATTATAACTACTTAAATGGTACGTACCATTTGATGAATTTTCGAAACTTAATAATTATTAAATAAATGCTACAGTACTGGAAATGCAAGACCTCTTACTCATTAATTTTTTGAAGAGCCTGCTAATGCTATGGCGTATATATTTTATCTTAGGTATGTATATATTTAGGGCAATGCAAAATAAATATATTAAATTAAAGTAATTAATTTTCAGACACATTCATAGAGACAAAAATATTTATTCATTTGTAAACCATAATAAAACAGTCAACTTCAGAAGATAATTAAAATGTTATATTAACAGAATTTCTTATGTTCAATATTTTTATTAGCGTATATATCTTATTTAACTGTTTATATTTTAATACAAATAAAGAAATAGCAGTTTTGTTGTTATATAAAGAAATCTCATTTAAAATCTCTTTGCTTTATTTAACACGCATTTCATGATGCTATCCGTACAAGACGAATGCGAGGCACAAAAGAGGATGTGTAATGAATCGGTTGTGTAATTAATTAGTGAAGAAAGGGCCCACCCCGTGTGTGCAACCCTGCATATTGATTTATTAAGCCCTTCACCCGATAAATTATTTAATTCAAAGTTCCAAGAGAGTACTATCTCCGCGATGTTACATGCGTGCAGAACATTGTTACGTGTATTATAATTAATTCATTATATTGAAATCTGTTAGAATGTGAATTGTTAATACCAAATTTTCTAAAATACTGAGTCTTGGTATTCTGTATCAGATTTTACATGATATTAGATATTTGCAAATATTTGACATTATGTAGAATAAAATTTAATACATACTTGTATTTCAAGTTAATAACAAAATTACTAAAAAAAATAGCAAATGAAATTAAGGTAGTTGTTAGTACACAGTTAGCGTCCGTCAGATTACAATAAGAACACCTTTCTCCAATCGATTTTATACCATAATATGTTAATAATTAAATTCAAAATTAATATCAATGTTTTTTACCTTAATTCTGGATGAAATACCATGCAATCGGTTCATAAACGGTGGGAGATTTGAGACAAGTGACAGGCAGGAAAACGCAGCAAAGGTAGCTTTTTTCTTCCTGTTTTAATTCATACATCAGATACATTCAAAAGTGACTACATTAGACTATGAAGTCACTTTCCATTACAATATAAAAAAGGAACAAAAATGTTTGTTATTATATAACGTGATGCTGATGAAGCTGCTCTCAGAATTTTGATCGTACTTCACCTTATATCTCGAATAAAATATAAAGTGGATTTGTTTGGCTGTGTCACACGTTGCTTCATAGAAAATATTTACATAATCATTACAAGAGTTTTATACCTTATACCGTATAATAATTAATCTACATTTTTGTAAAGAAAATGTTACTGCCAATAAACAAAACGAGTTTTAAACGGTTTTATCACGTTTCTATTTAATTTTATTCACGTTTCGGACCGTTTACAGCAGGCTAATTCTGCAAATGTTTACGTAATAATCACATCTCGTTAGAATCTCAACTACTTGCATTTTACCATTGTACTATCTACAAAAATTCCAATATTATTAGTTCAATGTCTTCCTTACATATCAATGGTGACATAAATATTATAATATTGGACTTCAGGCAGATAGTACAACGACAAAATATACGTCGTTAAGATTCTATTGAGATGCGATGTCTTCTGGTTCCGTGTTCACATAAGAGTAAGTTGTTGATTGTTTTTTAATTAAAATTATAGCTACCTTCAAAATAATGCTGTTGGACAAATTCTCACAAAATTTTATATTTTATAGCGACGTTTACATTAATTAAATTATTTTCAAACTACATTTGTTTGTTTACCCGTGGCTATTACCGGTTCCAAATTTGGGAGTTTTGTTTGATAAGTGAATTGCTCCCTTTGATTTAATATTAACAGAATGATCTAATTGTATCTTTTGATTTTGTAATGTTTGATCTGGATTGAGATTCCATCCTCCATCTCTATTAAAATTCGGATGCTTTTTAATATCTATAGTCTCGCGTATCAATCTAGGAATGAATCTTTGTCCGAAACGTCAATAAAATTAAACACAAACGCGATAAAACCGTTTAAAAAGTTGTTTCATTTATGGAAAGTGCGCGTGCAAATACAAGAAATCAATGCTACATCCAATGTTTGGAAACATATACAATATACATGTATGATAAAGAATTCTTAAAAACTTATTTGTTAAACAACAATACAGTTCCCTCTTCATATTTACATAAATAGCTACGCTGCGGATATCACAAACATCGTATCCTTTAAACCACTACTGGTTCACATACAAAAACCACCTCTAACAATCTCTAAATAAGCTCCCGTTTTCGGAACAATGCCCCAATGTGGGTGGTTGGTTAGTTTTACTGCAACAGTAGCCTAGGACATTAATCGGGACTATTAAAGATGTTTTTCTTAAAGCAACTATAGTAGGAGGCTATTTTGGGTGCGCGCGAGTTGGACCACCCGCGATACGGGCGCTAACGTTTATGCTAGGCTATAAAGATTTGTTTACTTCACACGGCAACTTAGATTCTGTATTCATTTAACTAAGATATCAAGTATGTTTCTACACTATGTCATAATCTATGTTCGCAACTGATGTTAATAGTATTCACATGAAGTTCATAATACCAGGTTATTTTTGTATTTACTTAAGTATTATTTGCATATTTACTATTAATATTACTCGTAATAATCGTAAGATGTGCACTGAAATTGAATAACGCAAAAATGTATATAACATATACAAAATTCATATACACTATCTATTGTTAAATTAATCAACAATATT